AGGAGAATCCCTTCTATGTGAAGAGTTACCTCTGTTGCTGCTGTTGTTGATAGACCTTTATTTTATTTATTTTTATGCAGTGCCTCACATATGCCAGGCAAGTGCACTGCCGCTGACCCACAGCCCCAGCCCGTTTTTATCTTTTGACAGTCAAATATAATGTGTCTCACTGCGGATCTTTTCAAATTTATTGTATATCTAATTTTTCTATATCTCAGACTACATAGTTTATAAAACCACTCATGTAGGGCTGGGGATGTGGCTCAAGCGATAGCGCGCTCGCCTAGCATGCGTGCGTGCGGCCCGGGTTCGATCCTCAGCACAAACAAAGATGTTATGTCCTCCGAAAACTAAGAAATAAATATTAAAAAATTCTCTTTCTCTCTCTCTCTCTCTCTCTCTCTCTTTCTTTAAAAAAAAAAAACACTCATGTAGAATAGTTACAAACTATTAACTTGGTGTTTTGTTTTGTTTGCAGCACTGGGGATTGAACCCAGGGCCTCACGCATACTAAGCAATAGGCAAACACTCTACCAATGAGCTATATTCCCAGCCCTTTTAATTTTATTTTGAGACAGTCTCACTAAGTTGCTCAGACTGACAATTTGTAATCCTCCTCCAGCCTCCTCAGTGACTGGGATTACAGAGCAGTTTGTTTTCCAGTGCAATTTGTTGAGTTTTACTGGACAAAAGTCTAACAACAACAATGTTCAGTTATTTGATTTAGTATGCTGTGTCATTCAGCCTAAACTAAATCCCTATCACAGAGTTTAAAAACAACATGGTGTACAGAATAGCAGATCTTAAATCTTCTACCCATAAGGAATACAAATCCTTTATTCTTATATTTTGACCAAAGTAAGTTATGGGGCCATCCCTAATTTTAAGTAGGCAAGTAACCACCATATTTGTTTGTGCCCAAATGTAGAAACATAACTGTCTTCTAATTAGTCTACAATCTCCACTCCCTCTCCTATTTCATCCCCATCTATTCTTCAGCATTTATCTCATTATTTATTTGTGTAAACAAAGGTTATCACATTTCTTTCCTTAACTATAATTTTCATTTGCTTAGAACCTAGTACTGAACCCAAAAGCTCAATTGTCAGCTCTGTGACTATAAAGTTCTCAGTGTTTTTAAGTTTTAGTTTTTTCTCTTGTTAGAAAAAAAAAATTCAAATATTAGAATAATAAAGCTTATCTCAAAAGATTATAAATGGTTGAGATAATGTGTCTAGAACATTTTGTACACTGTTTCATGCATAGTAAATGCTTCAGTTATTACTATTTTCCTAGCCTTTAGTGCCTTTCATAATCTGGCTTCAACTTATCCTTTCATCTTCAGTTTTGTCTTCATCTTCTTTGGCTCTCTTATAACCATTTGATGGCTATACTTTATCAAATTATTGATAAACTATAAGTAATAGTATTTTTATTGTGTGTGTTTTTGTTTATAATTTTTTTTTTTTTTTTTTTTTTTGGTATCAGGGATTGAACCCCGGAGGCATTTAACCACTGAACCATATTCTCAGCTCTTTTATTATTTTTATTTTGAGACAAGAGTCTCAACGTTCCTTAGGGCCTTCCTTGCTAAGTTGCTGAAGCTGGCTTTGAACTTATGATTCTCCTGCTTCAGCTTCCCAAGCTGCTGGTATTATAGGCTCACACCACTGCACCCAGATGCTAATGTTGTTGTTATTATTTAGTTGTAGTTGAACACAATACCTTTATTTTATTCATTTTTATATGGTGCTGAGAATCGAACCCAGTGCCTCATAAGTGCCAGGTGTGCCCTCTATCACTGAGCCACAACCCCAATTCCTGTTAATGTTGTTTTTGATTTTGCTGTATTTTAATTTGTTTAGAAGAGAGAATGGAATTTTTTCTGTGAAATTTCCCACTGATTTTATGAGAAATCAGGATTTATTTAAAATTTTTTCAGAATTCTTATAATACTTCACTATAATAGAGGAAAGTATTTATATAAAGAAAAATAGGCTTTCCTATTTTAAGATAGGTAGTGAGGTAATTTCCTCTTGAAAATCAACAGAACAAAAATTTGAAATATTTTTATCTTTAACAACATTTAGAGGTCATTAAAGGTAGTCATTGACCTAAAAATTGGAAAAAAAAGAGTAAATGACTTAGGAAGAGTTAATTAAACCTGAGGGCTTAAACCTGTAGGATACAAAAATCACTTTGATTCATTCATATACTCAAAAAAGCTCAGGAGTTAGATGGACTAGTAAGTACCACAGACATATTGCTTTTAAAATCCAGATATGGATAAGGACCCTTTGTTTTCATCTCGTGGTGACAGGAAGTACATTGTCTGGTTGAACCAGAGGAATTCCAAACAGAGTGGGGTAACTGTGAGGCACTGAACTAAAGATCAGGATTAAGTGAAACTTGTCATACTGAATAGTAGTTCATTAAGCCTCCCTTCCCTGCTTGGCTCCAGATGTCTGTCTTTCATGCCTAAATATCTTAGGCACAATTGAGAGCTCTTTCCTATACAAATTGAACTACTCCAGAAAAGCTACTTAACAACTAACTAGTATTTGAAGACATCAGCAAAAAAGCCAGCTGGACATTACCCTGAAGCCCATAGTTGGCAAGCCCGGCCTATACATATATATACAGCATTATTGTTAGCTTTTTAATGTTGACCCTTTAAATAGGAGCAACCAACCAAAAATTGTTAGCTATCTTAGGAAATTTTCTAATATAGAAGAAGGATACATAACAGAAAGCTGGGGGTTGGGGCATTTTAAAGGAGCACACAATGCAGGAAACAAAAATACTTAAAGGAAATGAAAATCAATTACCTCAGACAGTATTGCTTCATGAAACAAAACATGATGCCCTAAGAAGAAAAAGGAGAGAGCAACTAAGAAAGTTTGTGGGATGAAAAGAAAAGCATGACACAGTTGAAAGGCTATCTCTGGACATAGAATATAGAACAAAATAGAGAAAGAGGTTGATAAGAGGCTCAGTATCTAATTGAACAAGAGTTCCAGAAAGAGATAACAGGAAACAAAGAACCCTATTAATATATTAAGGAAACAAAATATGTAAATTTTGTAGACCTAAAGACATCATTGGTTTGAACAGGTCAAGTGCCCAGCACAGTGATATAAATTCACATACTTGTGTAAAGTACATCATTCTGAAAATTCAGAACGGATAATAAAACGATTGTAAGAACTTTGAGATAGGAAGAGGGGGAAAAAGGGTGAAGTCTATGAATATGAATATCATTGAGGGCTAGGGTGGATCCCTAACACTATAAAAAGATGGGTGTGTGTGAGATTGAATCCCATATCCACTCATGAGAATATAAGACACTGCAACAAAACCTTTTAAATGAGGAGGGAAATATATTGTTACAAAATTTGTAAAAATATGCACCAGAAAGAAAAATATAATGAAAACCCATATATTCATCTCCCAGAGTCATTAGCCTTACCCTTTCCTCTAAGCATACTTAAAAAGTTTTAAAGCAAATTCCAGATACTTTATCATTCAATACTTACTACTTAATTTTATCTGTAACAGATATTTTAAAGAAACAAAATCACACTGTTACTAATCTAAAAATATAGGAATTTATTAATATCAAATATTTAGTTTTTGTTTTGTTTTCTCCATTTTAACTCAAAGCTGTCTTTAGGAGTTGGCTTATTCTAATAAGAATCTCCTGCATTTAGTAGATATATCTTAAATTTCCACTGAAAAGACTACCACTATGTGTATGTATATATATATATATTTTTTTTTTTCTTTTTCACAAGCCTTCTAGCAATATTTGAATTTTAAGTACTGTCTCTGTACTACTTTGAAAAATACAAATTAACTCCATAACCAGTTATACTTAGAGAATGTCTCAGGAGATTTACCAGAGTATATGATTAGCAGTTTAAATGTTACCCATGTATATTTTACAGACTTTCATGTTGATCAAATATTAGTTGAACATGAACTCGTGTAGCTAACTTAATTGGCTCAGCCATTCAGATATAGAAACAAATATTCCATGTTGTTGCAGTAGCAGGACAAGATGGCAAAAAGCCACCACCAAACATGTGAAAAATAGTCCAGAAATAAAAAGTAAGCAAGCAAAGTTTCTGAGCAACAGAATTTTCACAAAGCCAGGAACCTTAAAAGCCATTGGGTCTGTTCAACTTTTGCATGTAATTTTAAATAGTACCAGGATTGTAGGTGAGTGGAAAGGAAGAGAGGTGATGTCAGCAGGCTAATTATTGCCCAAATTGATAGCCAACAGTAGGAAAAGGGACAGATTATATTAAATCCTAACTCAGGCATTGAGGAAGAAAAGTAGTGTAGTGAATAATAGCCTGCTCTTATGCCACATGGAAATAAAGAATCCAAATCAACTCATGTAGTCCTTTTGAGGGGGGTTATGTGGCAGCTCAATTATGTTGGTGTTGACCTAGCCACTATAGTGCAGCCATTTAACACCCATGGATTTTTTTAAAGTTTAGATATTTTGCTTTTTATTATTACCAAATAATTTTTGAAACATCTAATTATATTCCTGAATCTGACTTAGTTCTAATATAACCAAAGAACAGGAATGAAAAATGAAGTGTGGAGTAAGATTAGATGAAGTAACAATGTGGACCTCTTGGAACATTTACTATATATGGAATAATACATTTCTTCCATTGTTTTCCAATCCACAGAGTTTCCTTAGTCATTTTAAACAAAATGTCTGTTGGTTCTCTTGAGACTTCATTTTTATTTTAAATGCCCCCCACACATAGAATCTCAACTTTCAGTTCTCCAATATAAGTTACATTGATCAAACTTACTTTTTTCCAATTAACAAATAGATATGTCTATTACAATAGAATTTATCTGTTTTTCATTTGAGAATCTAAAGGATAAACATCTGACTTTTAAGTTTAGTTATGTTTATTTAATTGGGTGTAAATTAGCCACAATATTTCTCTTTAACCCTGTGCTGTTTCTTTTAGAGGAAGTCCACAAATGAAGGGGACACCCCATTTTAAGGAAGAACACTGTGCTCCAGCATTAAATTTAGAGATGAGGAAAATATTGGATTTACAAGCACCCATCATGAGGTACAGTGCTTTGGTTAAATTTGGCATTTTGTAATGATAGTAGACAATGTAGTTGGTTAATAACATGATCAACAGGAAAATTGCTTGCATTTCTTATAATTCAAATGGAAATGCTTGATTAAGACATTTGAAGTTTTACAAATAGTACATTATTTTACTTGTGATAATAAAGCTCATAAATTGGGTAATTTTACTTTGGAATTTACATTTTTTGATAAGGTCTAGAATTGTTTGACTAAATAATATTATCCATGTCCCTCTAAAAGATAGTGATAAAAATCATTACGTAATCATAATTTAAGGTAAAGAGAAAGTGCCTTTGTTTTCAAAGCCTTCATATATTTCTAGGAAATTTAGAAGAAAATTAAGCTTTCTGATCCAAGTAAGAATAAAGATTCTATGACAAGGCAGCCAAAATACCAAAAATCTGTTTTTACACCAAAAATCTATTTTTACATCTATTGATGAAATAAGTGGTCTTATTTATAATTTGACATTATTTCTTAAAGTGCTTCATGGTTGACATTTTAGCTGCCACTTAGTTTAACTGCATATTGTTGCCATTGTGTAAATGTAAGAAACTGTTTTTAAATAATGTGCAGCTGTGAAAACAATGAGGATATTCTTTACTGAAAAAAACTTTCTAACTATATTAGTGAGTGACAAAAAACAATGTGAATATTATAATATATACTTTTAATATTAATATTATGATATATATAAGAGAAGATGGTAGTATTAGAATATTTATTGTTCTAGAAGAATACATAAGAAACTGGGGATGAGAACCAAGTAGCCTCAAGACAGGTTTGGGAAGATATTTTTACTGTTTACTTTGTAAAAATATTGAGCCATATGAATATAATATGAATGTATTGAACTATATAAATGTAATACCTATTTTTTGAAAGATCCTCTTGATTTACAATTTTAATGAAATGGCTTCTTTCACCATTTCTCTTATTAGAATAGAATGGCACTGGAACATATTACAGAAAAATCATGTGCAAGTTGTTAGCTATTGTCCGCCTTGCTTATTCCATCTTTTTTATATTCTCATAGAAAAGAATGCTGTTATTTTCTTAAATGTGGAAGTGTCACAAAATATTAGAATTCAGGATAATCATCACGTTCGTCAAAAGGTTACTCATCGCTTAAGACTTTATATATTTCAGCATTGAAATCCTTTTTAAGAATGTAACTTGATGCAGAACAGATTTTTTTGAGGGTCGGGATGATTACTGTTTTATTGCATTAGAAAAAACATTAGCAATGATGACTAATTTATTTCAGTACAGTTTACAAAAAAGAAAAGTGGTGCTGTAAAACAGTTACAGTGTAGTTTGCTTTGACAATGATCATCATAAAATTTGGAAGCAATATCTCTTTTCAGGATAGATTATTATGTAGAAGGAATTTTGAACGTATGGGTACCATGCGAGGTGAAAACTACAAACTTGGCTTTTTACGTCCACTTGGTGGTAAAACCTGTTTGGTGTATGGAAACAGGATAGAAAAAGAACCTATAAAAAAAAAGAGGCCCAGCACAGTGGCACACACCTGTAATCCCAGAAACTCGGAAGGCTGAGACAAGAGGATCATGAGTTCAAAGTCAGCCTCAGCAAGGGTGAAGTGCTAAGCAACTCAGTGAGACCCTGTCTCTAATAATAACATTTTTAGAGTTTTTAACATGTGAATTATATAATTCATATAATGTTTAAAATAATTTTGATTTATCAGAAACACTCTTCTACTTCAAGGTACACATGGAAGCATATATGTATTATATTGCTCTCTAACCATATTAAATTATTTATAACTCAATAAGATCCTAAATTTAAAAATACATACACATATTTGGGATACCAGATAGTTGTTATAATGCCCATGCAGCCAGTGATTGAAGAGGTTTTCTGAGGACATAACTTAAGTGTATTTAAATGTATCTTGTATGTACTTAAAACCAAGGATGATATTCAGAATATTTGAGAACCCATATAGCATGAAAAGTTGTGGGTTATTGGTACAGGGTCCTGGCATGTATGCCAAGAATTAATCCTTTAATATACTAGATCTTCATGAGGGAAGGAATCGTTAGTAGCACTTGGATGGCTTAGGGCAAGCCCTATATTTGCCATCATTTATGGAAATATTCATTACTTTAACAACTGACATCAGCCTTTATTTTAACAATTTTGTTTACTTTTAATTAAACAAGGTATATGATGTATCTGTCTTTCATATAGATTCTTTATCATCTTTAAAATCATTATCTGCTAATTCTATTGGTCATTTATTTCTATTGATGGATTTTTCTTTTGAAATTTGGGTCGCATTTTCCTGTTCATATGTCTGGTCATGTTTTGTTGCGCCATTGTTAATTTTAATGTAGAGATTATATATGCTATTAATTTTCAAGTGTACATTCACTACATAAGGCTATTAGCTACTTTTATAAGATAGTACCAATATAGAACATTTCCATCATTATTGAAAATTCTTTTGGACAATGCTTGAGTATTATTACCTCCACAGTCCATGGCTCTAGATTGTCATCCTGTTGTTAATGTCTGTTCTTTTTATGGTTTCCCCTCCTCTTTTCCTTTCATGTCATTTATCACTTGTGCTTCTCTTTACTAATTTGCTGTTTCAGCATTTCTAGTTTTTAACCCAATTCATCAAGTTTGTAACTGTGGCTACACATAGTCCATCATTTTTCCCTGAATTTCTGAATCTAGATTGAATTATACATAGGTAAAAGTCATAGCTAAATTGCATATAAATGGAGATGTCATGATTCTTTTGCATTAGCCTTTTCCAGAGTAATTATATTCATAGTCATTACTTTCCTAGCATGTTTTTAAAAGTGATTTAAGTTGCTTATTTCCCTACAGTTTGCAGTCTGTACTGGAAGATCTTCTGGTTGCTACTTCTGATGGACTTCTTCATCTTATTCACTGGGAAGGAATGACAAATGGAAGGAAAGCCATTAATCTTTGCACAGTACCCTTTTCAGTAGATCTGCAATCATCTAGAGGTAATTACACTTTCTACAGAAAGTAGAACCAGTTGTTTAATATTTGACATAACCTAGTTAGGTATTTTCTTTGGATGAGCATTGATTTTAGTTTAATTGTTTAGGGTCATTAGGTTATAATTTTTGTCATTTTAACTATTCTTAGAGGGTTTGCAAGCAAACGTGTGATAGTTTTATTATACTCATAAACCTATTTTGTGCACTTTTTTATTCCTCAGTAGGTTCATTTCTGGGCTTTGCCGATGTGCACATCAGAGACATGGAATATTGTGCCACACTTGATGGATTTGCTGTTGTGTTTAATGATGGTAAAGTTGGATTTATTACACCAGTGTCAAGTAGATTTACTGCAGAGGTATGGCTTATTTACTTTGAATATTTATTTTATTTTGCATTTAATAATGTTAATCTTTGTTATTAAATCCTTCCCCATTTTCTATTTTCATTTAAGATTTTAGGAGTTATTAATTTTTTAACTATATACATATGTATGTATAAACAATGTGTATAGACAAAATTATATTAGACATATTGAAGAAAATCAATGGTTTCTGTCCAGAGGCATATGCCTTTTAATTCTTGTACTAGTTATTTGGATATTTCCTCTACTGCTCTGAGCATTGTCTTTAATTTTAGTTTTTAGTTTGTGTTATTGACTTTCTCCTATGGAAAATGGCCATTCACTTCCCGCTTCCCTACTCCCAACATACTCATATTCTTTCCATATTCTCAATGAAGTTTTGTGTTTTTTTTTTAATATGTTGAAGGACTTTTATTTTATTCAATGAAGTTATTCATTTATTTTTTGTATTTTTATCAGTATGTAGACCCTATTAGTTCCTGAGCCCTGTTGTATGTTTAGTTTTCATGTATGGTTTCTTTTCATTTTCTGCAGATTTTCTGTCCCTCTAGGAATTAATAAGTGTTTTTTACATTATATGTATTTACCGCTTAACTCGTTTATTCCTTTAACATAGCTGCATTTTTTTTTATTTTTCATCATCATCACCCTGAGGGTTCCCATTACTCTTTTATTTATATGAGATCCTTGGATTGCTAATGGTTATTATTATATGGATTTTGCTGCTGTCATAGAGACCCAAAATAAAATTGGATTTATTGAAAACTGAGTTTTGGTGAATTTGGTTATATGATCTTCACTATGGGATAATCTTATTTAGTTATTTACTTGGGGAGCCCCCTATCTTTATGTTCATTACTTTTTCCTCTCCCCTTCTTTCTCTTCCCCTCCTCTTCAATCCCATCATCTTTCTTTCTCCACTATTCCTTGGAAAAGAGTCTTAGTTCTTTCCAGTGGATGTATACCTGGCTCCTGTAGTGTTAGAATTTGAGTTATGAAAGAGTTAGGCTAAAGGGTCCAATTTCAAGGTGTGAATTTTATCTTTGACATTCCTGTTTTTCTCGAATGAAAAATGTCCAGTTTTCTGTTGGAGTATAGATTATGTATTTCTTGGCTGCACAGCATTGAGAAAACCAGGTGCTTCTTAAATGGGCTTTAAGCCAGTTCTAATTTAGTTTCCAAGCCTTTCGTGTATACTACAATGTAAAGTTAGCCATTTCTCAGTATTCTTTACTGCCAGTGAAGGGCTCTACTTATCCATATGCTTCCCAGCTTTCAAAGTTGTCTAAAAATTCTACCTTCTCTCCCATTCTTTGTCTTTGTCAGTTTATGCTTTTGAAAAAAATCTTGTATGAAAGTGTGGGCTTTAGGAGTTATGGACACTAAATATTCATTTTCAGTCTGCTCTCTAATGGGAAAGAATTTCAAGTTTTTAAGGGGAATTTTGTTGTTGCTCTTCTTCAAATAAATTATTCTTCAAATAATGAATTTTTGGTAGCTTAATGTCAACATACAAATAAAAATAAAAATCTTTTCTACAAGATGTATATATATTTATATTTAGAACTTAAATGTTTGTACTGAAAACAAAAATATTTGAGCTGAAATGGTAGTTAATATTTTTCTGAGTATTTAAAATTAGTTCAGTTATTCTCATCATTTATTGGTTATATGGTTAAAGAAATTTCCAATAAGGATTTAAAAAATAAAAGCAGAAGAACATTATTAAATGTTATAACTGGAAAATATAAATTATAAGAGTATAATACATATGGATTACTGATAATTGGGAAATACACAAAATGACATTTAATAAATGTGTTAAAATGCATACATTATACCATTTCTCTGTTCAATAGAGCTAGAAAATTAGGGCAAAAAATCCTGCTGAGGATCCAAAAAGTTGGATTAAAACTTTAAAAAATATACATGAAGACTTTCAAAAGGTAACATAATAATAAAGAATTTCCTGGTTAGGGGAGGCCAGAGACCCAGTGAGCTAAACCCAGTGTTTAAGTGTATAGTAAACTTGAACAAACAATGCTGTGTGCAACAAAATAGATCTCACAAGCATGTTGAATAAAAACAGACCTGTGATTTTATTTTACACAAAAGTAAAAGGAAAGTAAAAATATAAGCAGTTTTAAATTAGAGAGTACATGGAAATATGTTTAAGTGGCAACAGTCTAAAGGAAAAGGGTTGTGGCTCAGTGATAGAGCACTTGCCTAGGTTAGATTCTCAGCACCACATATATATAAATGAATAAAATAAAGATCCATCAACATCTAAAAAAATATTAAAAGAAAAGAAAAATAAGTAAAATCTCTACAAAAGAGCAAATACAGTCATGTGCTACATAATTACATTTTGCTCAATGATATTCCACATATATGTGGAATATATGGTCCCATAATATTATATCACCTAGTGATGTCATAGCCTCCTTAGATTGTGAAGATATACACTGATATTTGCTTGGTGATAAAATTGTGGAACAACAAATTTGTCTGATCATTTGTCATTCACACATGACTATTCTCTGTTGAGAACTAGATTATGCAGTTCATTTGGAATTGAATAAAATCTGTAATAGTAAAGTTTCAAACAGTTGTGATTATATTGTATGCATCTTCTAACATTTACTTTGGGGATCATTAAAAAACAAAGTGCACAAATAAAAAATAAATAAATAAAGTGCTTTATTATAGCTCTACTTTGTGCTTCTAAACTAATGTCATGACCTTTCCTTTACAATTTATAAGCTAAATATCCTTGTTTTGGCAAATAAGAACTAACAACTATGGGCAAAATCTATTCTGTATATACAGAATTAAATAGCGTATGAGATTAATAATAATTTCATTCATTTATGGAGTACTTAAATTATTGAATTGTATGCATTGTACTAAGTAGTGTATATGGACATTCTCATTTAATCTTTGAGCCACACTGTGAGGTAAGAAATTTAGAGATAAGAAAATTAAAGCTTGGAAAGGTCATTTGAGAGAATCACCTGAAATAGATTTGCGCTTTTCTATCAGGCTGCTGGATATAATGCCATTAGCCTTACTACATAGTAAAGAAA